CTATTAGGAGGTATGACTTTGTTGGAGTGGATATGACTTTGTTGGAGGAAGTATGTCACTGTAGGGGTGGGCTTTGAAGTTTCCTATGCTCAGGATACTACCAGTATATCAGTCTACTTCCTGTTGCCTGCAAGATGTCAAACTCTCAGCTACTTCTCCAGCACCATGTCTGCCTGCACACTTCCATGCTCCCCTACATGATGATAATGGACTGAAGCTCTGAAACTGTAAGAGAGCCACCCCAATTAAATGTTTTCATCTCATAAGAGTTGGTGTGGTCATCGTGTCTCTTCACAGCAATAGAAACCCTAACTGAGGCACCATCCATAGTAACCCTCAAGGAGACAACCTACATGTTAGTACAGGGTGAAAGAAAAAGCAGAATGTGGTTGTGAGGTTAGTGTGGATTATAAACTTTACAGAATCTAAAATCAGCTGGGAGGTGGACCTCTGACCATGATTGTGGGAGACTATCTTGAAAATGTTAATGGATGTGGAAAGACCCACCCACCAATCCCTGGCTAGAATCCTTGTCTGTGTAAACAGAAAAAGAGAGCTGAGAAATAACAGTTTCCTGTGATGTGCTATGACCAGCTAATGTAAGATCCTCCCGTTTTCTTCCAGACTGTGTGGACTGGACTTTGAACTATGAATAAACCATTTCTCCCTTAAATTACTTTTGTCTTAGTGTTTTAATCACAGCAATAGGAAAATAGAGTAAGACAGAGGTACATCCATTCCCTAGAATAATACTCATTCCTGCAAAGCAATGCTACGTTTATAAATGCAGCTAAATCTTGAAAACACACCAAGTGACTTAAGAAAAAAGTCTACTGCATGAATCCATGTACTACTGCTAGTTGCAAAACAAGCAGCTTTGTAGAGATGGAGGATCAGTTTGTATTTGGCTTGTTGCTGAGGTGGAGGGAGGGTTAGGGAGCAATTGCCTTATCTGCACCTTTCTGCAGTTTCTCAGTCCTGCCAGGCCCCAGGAACCCAGAGCCGCTTATAAAATAAATCACTCAGAGGCTTATATTAATTACAAACTGTATGGCCTATGACTCAAGCTTCTCAATAGCTAGCTCTTAACTTAACTCAACTCATTTCTATTAATCTATATATTGCCAAGTGGCCAAGGCATTACCAGTCTGCTAGCATCTTGTTGCACCTTGGGTGGCGGCTGGCGCCTCTCTCAACTCTATCCTTTTCCCTGTATCTCTGCTTGGATTTCCTACCTTGTTGTAAGCTTTCTTGCCATAGGCCAAAACAGCTTTATTTATTATCCAATGAGACCCACACATACAGCATACAGAAAGACATCCCACAGCACCTTTCCTTTTGGGGAGTGAGCATGCTCTGGGGCTGCATGGAGGTGACTGGATGCAATAGTGGGGACACACTAAATGTCACTGGTTGTAGACATTACATAATATGTGCTTAACAACAACAAAAATTGAGTCCAAGGTCTAATGTAAGTTTTCAAGACCATTTGAAGTTCTTATAAACAAGGTTGCTTGATTTCTTTCTATTTTGCTTTACAGTAAGTCCCACCTGTGAAGCTCAGGCTTATTTTTCATTGAAAATGATGGTTTTCCTATTTTGTAGGTTACACAATAAACTTTGATTAACCATTTTTTGGCTTCTGGGTACCTGTGAAGGTAGCCACTGTTTCTCCAGTATCCTTCACCATGGAGCATATGGCTTATTGATGATGGCTGCCTATGAGGATGGAGGTTTCCTGACCTCGTCTGGGCAGGATTGACAGTGTGATGTGTGTGCACATTGCCAATGCTCCTTTGTCACTATAATTGCTGGAATATTGAAGAGCACGAGAAAATTGTAGCCATCCAGACATCTCAGGATATATAGCTTATGGGCTGTTGGCAAAGGCAGACCCAATACCACTTTGAATATTAACATCCACTCCCAACTTTAAACCACATTATAATTCGGAGGCGCTCGGTGGTGCCTCTGCCTCTCCAGCTAAATGACATTTGTCACACTCAAGTAGGAACAATTATTAATAATTTTCATTTCATTAGAGGCACTACAATAAAATGTCAACAGCCTTCAAAGTGCATCAGAAGTGTACAAATTAATTTTGATTTTCTGAAGTGTAATTACTTTGGTAAGTACTGGACTGTGTGATCACGTTGGGCATTCTCACTCATGCAATCAATTATACTTAAGTGCACTTATCTGTTTTCAAACATGAGTTTGGGAGGTCACCTGTTGGTGGGGTGTTGCTGTTATATCAGGAAGAGGCTATGATTCATGTGAGTCATCCAGCAATCTCGGCATGGACGAACAAGTGAGATCGATTGAAAGCTGACAGCAAACACTGTTTTAGCGGAGGCCACTCCCTCCTCTTCAGGGAACTGAGGATTAATCACATACACTTTCAGCATGCTGGGAGAAAGCCTTGGAAGATCATTGTTATAGTGAAACCTTAGATTAGCATGTGCCTATTTACTCTAGAATGTGAATCACAAACGTGCCTCTGCTGTATGAGTTCCCACTGCTTAGCTGTGCATTGCGGAGCTGCAGAACAAGTCTCTCCCCAGCTTTATGCTCCAGTGTCTGTGTTTAATGTGGAGGCAAAAGCACATGCTTTCTGTGAGGCTGTGTCTGTGGTGATCATTGGCTTTATCATCTTTACTCCAAGGTTGAAGCAGAGGAGACACTCAATCCATATTTATTGAGTGAGTAAATAAATGAGCATTGTCGTGAGAACCAATGATGAACTGTAGACACGCTCAATGGCTATCTGCAAGCATTACTACTGTCAATCATCCACTTAACATGGAATTAATAGTGATTGTTACAGTCATAGAAAAAATTATCGATTGTCCTTATTTTGGACAGAAAAGAGAAACAAACTCAATAAACCCATGGCAAGATTCTACAGGTCACCAATAATTAACTGCAAGGTAAGACATCAAATGAATATCTTTCTCAACTATAGAATAGCAAATTAGAAGCAATCAGTGACACTCAGTGAGGGGTACTTTTTATTTATGCTGTCCACAGGGTTGTAGAATACTCTGGCTTCTGATAGAATCAATTAACTAAATATATCACAAGGAAGGTTAGGTACAAGCCTTGGACCAAAGAACTCTGGAACTCACAAGTTACCAGACAAAAGGAACATTACTCACAATTTCTCCTGAAAAGAAACATTCCATACCAGAAGGAAGCTCCTTCAGACTCAAGACGATAACTGCAAGTTTCAAAAAGACCCTGAAACTTACCAGAATCACAAGACTCTACCAAGGCTATAGAAGCAATAAGGACTGCTGAGGAGAGAAGGCGATGACCTGTGGCGTTGCCTGAGCTTCTTCAGGGAGCTCCAGGGTTGCATCCTTGAGTCATTGTCTGTGCTGAGGTGGGCCTTCAGTGATGCAGCTGCCATGAGTCATGCTGTTTCTTGAAGCAGCCCGTCACTAATACTCCTGCAAGTAACCCCAATAAATCCAGTGGTTCACCAGGTTGAACTTGGGTAGTATTGTCACTTAGATTTGTCACAGGTTTCCTATTTGGGGTAAGTAAACATTTTCTTTTTTCACATTTCTCCAGAAATAGTGTCATAAAACAAGAAGACACACGGCTAATTTTTAAGTGCATAAAACAAGAACTTCCACGAAAATCTATTCACAGAAGACAGCTAAATACGTTTCTGAACATTCAAGACAAGACATCTGTGTAGCCGGCAGAAGGGTGGCTATGCTTTGGCATGTGAGACATTCCAAAATAGAGAGTCAAGTGGCATAAACAAGTTGAGATCCAACACGTACCACATGTTTGATTGCTTTAGGATAGTAGATGAGATTTCACAGAACAGAAGTCAAAATGTGCAAAATAAGTTGAGTGTCAACTGTCAATGATGCTATGGAGAACTGTGAGAAGCCTGGACAGACACTGCTTGGAGACTAGGTTTGGATGGATGGGGTTGCTCATTTTTATCACTTTTTTCTATCTTGTCTTAGTTCTTTGAGAATTCCATATAATGCATTTTGATCGTATTCACTGCTCCCTCAACTCCTCCCAGATCTACCCCCTCCCTTATCTGCCCAATTTTATGTTCTCTTTTTTAAATCCTCTGAGTCCCCTTTGTGGGGTCTTCCACTGGGACTTGGTCAAATTACAGGGGCCTCACTGAAAGAAAACTGACTCTGTCCCAGAAGCTGTCAATTGCCAGTAGTTCTTCAGATAAGGATGGGACTTTGTGCCCACCCCCCCATGCTGGGACTT